GCACAGTGCCACTGGCACACAGAAGATGAGATGTGGCTCTGCCAGCCACTGCTGGCACCAGCACAAACAGGGATGTGCAACCCCTGAGATGGACACAAATCCTCTTCCCTGGGGCAAGCCCTGGCCCAAGGCTCTTGCCCCACCACTGCAAAGCCAAGGTTTTGAAATGCTGGGGGTGCTGCTGGCTCTGGAGGGATGGGGAGGCCATCAGGGAGTGCCCCAGCAACCTGAGAGCACCAGGGGTCACCCTGCCAGCTCAGCTGCCCCCCTGCCACTCCCCACACCAGCCCCTGGCCTCAGGGAGCACAGGGACTTCACCCAAGGATACCCTCAGCTCCTGGGGCAGTCCCAGTGCACGGAACAGTGCCAAAACCAGGACATGAGGCTGAAACCAGAGCCTGGTGAAGTCCTATCCTGGCTGAGGCTCCTGCAGCAGGCAGCTGGGATCATGGAAGTGAAAGCCAACCCACCAGCAGCTTTAATGAAGACTTCAAGGCTGTTGTGAAGCCACAGTGGCAAGTGTGGCACCACGCAGGGCTGGGGCTGGCCACGGGCACCTCCAGCACTGCAGCCGAGCATCGGGAAGCAGCACTGGCTTTCCCAATCCAGCTGAAAGCTCCTCGGATGTTCTGCTGCTTTGATTATTTGACAGCCCATGTTTTTTAAATTATTCTTGTATAAATATTTACGCATTTTTACAAGAACCATGCTTTGAGCAGCGGCCCATGGCAGATGAAGGGCCAGAGGGGAGGGGGCTGGACGCTGCCTTGCTCCAGCCCTCTCTGCAGGTCAGCTGGGGGTTGAGCAGGGATGCAGCACTCCTGCCTGGGGCCCCCGCAGTGCTGGGTGCTGACAGCACACACACACCCCACCACCCCCTGCGATCCTGCTTTCCCCCTCCCTCCCCAGGGAGCAGAGCCCAGCCAAGCAGGGGCGGCCCGAGGCAAAGCCCTGCACACAGGGCTGGCTGCTGCTGGGAGCCCCACGCTGCCCCACACGCCCCATCCCTGAGCAGCTCCCAGAGCACTTCCCACGGACACCCTGAGCCAGAAAACCCCACTGGCAGCAAGGGCTGTTGGCAGGGTGCAGATCACTTCTCCACTGCCCATCCCGGCACTGCACCCCAGCCTCAGAGCAGAGCAAGTAAATACCAAACCCCCCTGTTTTTTTGGGGTTTTTTTTTGGGGCCCCCATATCTGCCCCCAAAGCCCTGATCTGCAGGGATAGTGCCTGCAGCAAAGTCTGCTGCTGGGCTTCCTGGTGGGAACCCTCCCTGCCAGCCCTGTCCTGCTCCCCAGGATTGTTGCTGTGGATTTTGGGAAGGATAAGGGTGAGCTCCCCCCCTCCCCCATCCACAGATGGGATCCACAACCCAGCCTCGAGTTTTCCACCGAGCTCAGCAGAAATTCACCCAGAAGGTCAGTGACCAGAGAAAGGGATGATCCATCATTAAATAAATTGTTTTCATTTCCCAGGATAAAGGGGAGGAAAAGGGGAGGAGGGGAGGTGTTGTTGGATCAGGACTGGAAAATAAAAGAGCACAAGGCAGGAAAACCACCCCCTGTACTCCCCGCAGAGAGCAGCCCCAGCTCCTTCCCTGAACCCTCACAAGAGTTTTACAGCCAAAGCTCTTAATGTGATTATAATAATTATTTCTTTCCTAGCAATTGCCCCCCTGCCACGGTTGGGCTTTTTTGGGGGGTTTTTGTTGTTTTTTTTTAAATTTTAATAAACAGCCTATTTTGAAATGTCACTGGGGGAAGCCAAGACTCCAGCTGAGCCCTGGCCTGGAGGAAGGAGCAGGGGCAGGGGGAGCGTGCGAATGTGTGTGCATGCCTGCAGCAGGCGTGTGCGTGCGGGAGCGTGGGCACCGTGGGGACACCCTGCTGCAGCCTGCCAGCACACCCAGCCCCTGAAAACCCGCCCTGCCCCAGGCAGGGACAGACAGGGGACTCTTCTCCCTCCCTCTCAGTGTGGGTGCCCCGCTGAACCCCCCCATCTCGCACCCCTCATCTCCCACCCCTCTGTGTGGTCCCCCCCAAGCCCCGGGGCCGAGCTTTGAAATCTGTTGAAAAGAGACCCTTTTTGCCAAAATAAACAGCCTGTCATGTTAAATTACTCTCTCTTTCTCTCTACCTTCGCTGCCTTTGTCCCCCCTCCCCATCCCAGCTGTTTTGTTGGGGGCTGTGCCCCTCTGGGGGCTGTGGGGTGCAGAAGTGCTGGTGCTGGGGCAGAGCAGCCTCCCTCATCCCAGTGCCCCTGTGCCCTGCCAGCTCCTCACCCCTCCAGGCCAGCACCCCAAAATCTGTCTGCTGGGTGGTGATGGCATCCTGCAGGGTCTGGCGTGCAGCAGTCCTGCTGCACAGCCCCACAGAGAGCCAAGCTGGGTGAGGGGCACGGGGGGCTCACTGCAGCTCCTCGCCCTCCTCTGCTGTGCCAGGTGCTCCCGTGCCCCCAGGTTTTTTCCTCCCTCTTGCTTGTACTTGCCCTTTTGCTTGGGGTTGTTTTCTCTCTCCCGTTTCTAACAGATCAGAAATTCTTGGAACTGTAAACTGCCGAGATGGAAACAGTGATTAGCTCATTCAGGCCAGACTCTGCCAGTACCAGGGCACTCGCCACCAGCCCCTGGTGACTTGCCCAGACACTCTGCACTCCAGCCATGTCTTCACAGCCTAACTGGCCTTCCCACTAGGAATATTTTCCTGCTGTTTTTGGGCCAGTGGAGCTGTGCTCAGCTCGGGCTGATTGCGGGGCTGAGTGTCCAGGTGCTGCCCCAAATGCCCATGCATGTCCCTGCCCTGTCGCTCATCCCAGGCAGCGTGGCCCCAGCCAGGGCTCAGCCACTCACCGCTGGCATGGAGCTTCTGTGCCCACCACCTGCCCTGCACCACGCTGCTCAGGGCTCTGCTCAGCGCCTGGCAGACCTCCAGCTGCTGCCACCTCCTCTGGCTGGCCAGCTTTGTCACCAGATGTGCCACTGGCCAGCGTCACTCACTCCTCACACGGTGCCTGCAGCGGGGTCACTCACTGTGCCTGGCAGAGCCAGGAAAATGCTCCTCCAGGGCCCCTTGCCTGTGGGGGAGAGGAGAGAATGAGAAGGGGAGAGGAAGTGATAGAGGAAGGGGAAAGGGGAATAGGAAAGGAGAAAAAGAGGGTGAAGAACAGGAAGGAGGGAAAGAGGAAGAAAGGAGGAAGGGAAAGGCAGAAGGGGGAAGGAGGAAAAGGAGAAAAGGGGAAAAGGGGGAAAAGGGGGAAAGGGGGAAAGGGGAAAATGGGAAAAAGGGGGAAAGGGGGATAAAGGGGGAAAAGGAGGATAAAGGGGGATAAAGGGGGATAAAGGGGGAAAGGGGAAAAGGGGGAAAGGGGAGGTCCCAGCCTGCAGGAAGGCAGCATTTGCAGCACCAACATCTTGATTGTGGCACCCAGAGGTCTGAAAAGTGCAGGTGTCAAAGGCAGAGATGAGCCCAGGGGATCACATCACACTGGCTCTTCCTGGTGCCAGAGCTCTGGCTGCAGGATGCCAGGGTCACACTGTGACCAGAGGGCAGGGTTACCCCACTAGCACCAAGACATCTGGGGGACAGCCATGTTTCCCTGCCCTGCCCAGCCTTACCTTCCTACAGAACCACTCCTGGCTCTCAGTTCAGCTTCTGCATGAGGCCCACAGACTCCTCCAGCATTCCAGGCACGGACAGAAGGAATGTCCTGGCTGCTGCTGAGGCAGAGACCCCCTCCATGACAGAACGATGCTCCATGGGCACACAGCAACCCTGCCAGCAGTGAGCCATGCCCCACCACCCCCAGAAAAGTGGTGGCCTGCATCTCTCTGCCCTCTTTTTCCCACACCAGGGCAGGAAGCAGTAATCTCTCTTGTCTGGCTTGGGTTCAGCATTCTTCAGGATGAGCCCAAGCCACTCTGATGGGGGTCTGCTGCTTTTGGTCCCTCTCTGGGATGCCAGCCAGCTTGTCTTTCCCACATGATGGAGGAGGGTAAGACGTGTGCCCTCAGCCCTGGTAGAGAAGCCATTGGTGTGGGGGACTGAGCATCCCGTGCTCAGATGGGCTGAAACCCGAAGTGCAGGGCTCAGGTAAGGAAATGCAGAGCCCATCACCCACTGTGGGGGTTTAAATCTGGCTGAGACGCCCCAGCTCAGAGCACCCACAGCCTCCTGGTAGTGAGAAGCCCCGTGCAGGCTTAAAGACCCGGACTGCAGGTGCCCAAGGATGCTCTGCAGGTGGAACTCTGACCCTTGGAAGGCAGAACTCCTTCAGTCAGCTGGCAGAAGGGTGGATGAACGTGAGGGACAGACTCCTGCCTTCACGGGGAACTGAAGGAGGCACTGGAAATAACCCCCGGAGGGGATCCAGAAGCCACGAGCCCCAGGCCATTCTCCCTCCCTTCCTCACAAGTGGTCCCCACAGCTCGTGTCGGGTCCCCTGCTGCCACGGAGCCTCCCCTTCTTCCCCATTCCCCTCCCTGCTCTGACCAAGGCAGAATGGGTTTGCAGGAAGGCCTGGGAGGGCTGAACACACAGTCCCGGCTTCCAGCCATGACTCCTGAGCGGCGGCTCCGGGCCTGCGGAGCTCGGGAACGCACGGTGCCGGCCCTCAGGAAGAGAATCTGCCTGGAAATCCCCGTTCTGGGATTTGGGGAGATGGGGGGAAGCGAGGGCAGCCCTGAGGGTACGATGCAGCGAGCGGGGCCGAGGGACGGCCCGGACCGGCCCCACCGATCCCACGGCGGCTTTGGGGTCCCAGCCCCGCTTCGTGCGTGCTCCCGGCTCGGTGCCCCCGCAGCCCGGCAGGGAACAGGGGCAGGGCGGTGTGTGCAGCGGGGCGGGTCGCTGCCAGGGAGGGGAGCCGGGCTGCCGCACCTGGGGAGCTGGACCCAATGGAGCCCGGTGGAGCCCGGTGGAGCCCGGTGGAGCCCGATGGAGCCTGATGGAGCCCGATGGAGCCGGGTGGAGCCCGGTGCTGGCAGAGCTGCGCCGGGCCGGCAGGGCTGCTCTGGGCACCGGCACGGCAGGCTCAGGCTCCTGCAGCCCTTCCGCAGCCCCGCCGCAGCAGGAGCCTGCCTGGCTCCCCTGTGTGCCGCACAGGGTGGGAGCAGCCGGGCGGGAAGGGCTGAGCTGGGCCGGGAGAGCAGTGGGTTCTTCACCTGGCACTGCCTGGGAGAGGGCGCTGCCCGCACCCAGTCCCTGTGCCAAGGGCGCTGTGGCAGAGCACAGCGCTGCCCTGGCATGACCCTCCAGCTGAGCACTCGCTGTCACCTCCTGCAGTGGCGGAAGAGGGGCCACGGTGTGACTCAAGCCCCCGCCCTGGGTTTGCCCTGTACCTCTCCCTGGGAGTCACCCGGTGCTTGTCACCGCCCGGCCCTGCTCCCCCCGCCCGCCCCAGGCAGCAGCCGGCCCTGCCCTCCTGCCCACGCACCTGTGCTCGCAGCGGCGTGAGGCAGCAGCAGAGCTGCCATGGAAGCCAGCACTTCCCTCTGGCACAGCTACCTGGGGGTGATCGTGTCCCGCGAGAGGCAGCGCGTGGAGCACTTCCAGCGGGCCGAGGACATCCTGCTCACCCTGCTGGAGAGCGTGCACGCCAGGGATCCCCGCTTCCTCGTGGACTACGCCCGGAACCTGGAAGCCTTCGAGTTTGCTCTCTGTGCCTCTGAGGACGCTGTCACCCTGGAGGTGCCCCTGCGCATTGACGGCGATACCCTGCGTGTGCTGGCGTGCCCGAGCAGGGACAGCCCGGGCCCGCATCCTTCAGAGCTCAGCACCTGCTGCCTGCAAGTGCTCTCTCCAGGGACTGACGTGGAGGACTGGACTGGTGTTGTGGACGTGATGGAGCACGGAGGGGGTGCGGGGTGCCTGCTTCCAGGCAAAATCCTCCAGCACCTGAAAGAGCTCCTTGTTTCAGCCATCGTGCACTGCCAACGCCTCTTCCTGCTCCAGCCAGGTGCGTACACTGGCAGGGTGCTTCCCAGCCAGAAGCTGCTCCAGCGCCTGCCCAGCTTCCCAGCTTGGCAGTGATCCCTGTGCAAACGTGCTGGGACCTATGTTCCTGGGCATGTGGCCCACCCATAGTTGCAGGGGCAGGTTAGCGAGCACCTTGCTGTGTGCTGGGGTGGGCTTTGCCTCCAGCTAAGGAAGGGGAGATGCAAACTGTTTACCAGAGTCATCCTCAGGCATCTTCACCTGGCACTGATGGCAGCCTTCTTGGTGGGTGCAGGGTCCACCCAGCCCTGCTGTTAGTCCCCAGGTAGGGTTTGCTCAAGGACTTGATGTGCTTGGCTTGCCCTCACCACATCCTCCCCTCTGCCTCTCGGCCTCCAAGTGCTCCCTGCTCCCTGGAGGAGGCTGTTTGGAGAGGGAGCTGGGAGTGCATCAGAGCTGGACCAGGACCCTGGGGCATGGGCCTGTGAACACACAGCTGGCAGCAGTGTCCTTGGAAAAGACATGGTGGGAGGGGACCCTGGGAATTGCCCATAGCTGTTCCATAACCCTCTTCATGCATTTTCATCTCCCAGTGTGCTTCTTGAAGGAAAGCTCAGCCAGGGTGAAAGAGTGATGTGAGAGGACCAATGGGTCTGAAAGTCTCTTAACCCAGTCCCAGCAAGTCCAGCATCCCCTCCTTCCTCCGTGGCCAAGCCAGTGACCTTCATCTTCCTCCACCCCCAGGAAGCAATGAACCTTTCCTGATCCATTTTTCTTGGACTGCATTGCTTTTCTTGGCACTGTTCAGCCGCCCAGAAGCACAGCTCGCTTTGCTTGAGACTTCCTGCTGTGTCTGACCTTGACCCCTGCGACTCTTCTTCCTGTAAAACCACCCCAGCATGGCTGGGAGAGGGATTTTACCCGGGGAAGTGCCCCAGACTGCAGCCCTGGGAAGGGCTGGCTCGAGTGGGGTGGGACACGGCCACGGGTGCTGCAGCACAGACCTGGCTCAGCCTGCGGGACCGGCTGTGCTAACCTGCTCACTGCTGCCAAACCCTCTGCACCTAGGTGACATCAGCGCTGAGAACCTGCGGGAAGATGCCATGGAGCTCTCCCTGCTGATCCGCGGCAGCTGGAAGACCATTCGCTTTGACATCGTTCCTGTGCTGAGGAGGCAGCAGGAGCCGCTGCAGCTCCGGAGGCGGCAGGGCGGCAGGGGCTTCCCCGAAGGCAGCCTCAGGAGGGCCACAGAGCAGGCTCACTTTGTCCCTGCCTCTCCCCACTGCTGGAGGTGAGAGCACAGCGGGTGACCCTGTGCCAGGAATGCCCCCTGGCTGGCAACACTGCTGGGTGTAGGCAAAAAGAGGTTGGGACAGGGCGGGGACATGTCAGCAGGGGTTGAAGTCACCCCCTCATGATGCCCAAACCCTCTTCCCTGTGTTGGAGAAAAAAAACCTCAGCCAAGTTTCAGAGAGCTCAGGGAAAGAGGGGGCGTGCAACCAAAGGAGCCCCCTGAGTTTATCCCTGGAGCTGCACGCTGACTGTGCAGAGGGTGGCAGCTCTCAGAGCCCTGCTTGGGCTTCAGAGACAAGCCTGGCACCTGGCAGCAGCAGGGTGATGGGCTGCAGGACAAACCAGGGCTGGACTGACGTATCTTGCCTGCCCCACGGAGGGGCTGAGCAGCCAGCTGGACCAGTCCCTATCTATTTTGGGAACACGGTGCTCCAACTGGATGCCCAGCCTTTCGCTGGGGACCAACCCAGCCTCCCCTCTCCACACAGGGGAGAACAACCCCACTTCATCCCACTCTTGGTCCTCCTGGGAAGGCAGGAGCTGCTCAGCAGTGCTCCCATCTCACTCCACACCTCTGAAGTTCTGCTGTGCCAGAGGCAAGCACAGGAGGGGATCCAGGAGGATCTTGCAGATCCAAGGTGCTGCATTGGCTGGGACCACTTGTGTGCCACAGAGGGATCCCCCTGCATGCCAAACCACTGCAGACATACTCTCCCCATCCTGGGAGCATGCAGGTCTTCATCTCCCCTCCCAGCAGACCCCACTGTCTTCCTGCAGATCCTCCAGCCACCTTCCCCTCCTGAAGCTGCTCCGAGGAGTGGACACCCTGAAGGGGCCCCGTCTGGACAGCCTTCGCCTGCTGGACCAGCTCCATGACCAGGACTGGGGAGGGCAGGCTGGCAAGGGCACTCTCACTTTCCAGCACCTCAAGGTAGGGTGGTTCTGCTGGCTGGGACCGTGGCTCTCTGGGCAAGCAGAGCCAAGGCTGCTCCCCTGCACAAGGACCCACCCAATAGGGTCTGCAGGGCTCTGGAGTGTAGGGAAGGATGTGTGCTGCTGCCAGCCATGGTTAGAGGGCTTTGGTCCTTCTTCCTTGGACTGAACCAGCAACATCCACCTGGAGACACTTTGTGTGCTCGGAGCTGGGGCTCTGCAGGGCATCATCCCCTGGCCCAGGCTGCCTGTGCCTGCAGGATGCCATCCCTGTGCCACGCTGCCCCGTGCCCTGCTGTGCTGGGACGTGCCTGTACAGGGCTGAGGGTGGCATTTCTACTGAGAAAAAACCTCCTCTCCCCACCCAACCTGTTTTCAACACTCTGGAGCCATGCCAACTGGCCGTGCTGGGGACAGAACCTGGTGGCACAATCCAGGTGTGCCCTGCCTTTTGATGGCTCTCCAAGCCAAGGGTCAAGAAGAATGCAAGGATGTTTTCTGCCTACAGAGTGGCTTCACCTCCTAGGAACCCAAATCCTGTGTACTTTGCTTTGTGCTGTATTCTTTGATGTTTTGGGGATGGTGGTTGTGGGCGTTTTTTTTTAAAGAAAAAGGGCAGGTACATGTATCTGGCCTTCAGAAAAGTATAATCTGCTTCAGGCCAAGGGGGGCTGCAGGGTGTGAAGGGACAGCCTTCACACGGTGACACGGTGACCTGCAGGGTGTGAAGGGACAGCCTTCCTGGCACCAGGCCTTGTCCCTGACCCTGTGCTCTTCTTTCCCTCCTCACAGATGGTGTTGCTGTGGAGCACGGAGCTCTTCCCCTCCCCGGAGGACTGGCAGGACCTGGAGGGCTCTGTCTACAGGCTCTTGGTGGTCCTTCTCCGCTGCCTGGCCACCCAGCACCTGCCCCACTTCCTGAACCCAGAGGAAAACCTCTTCCAAGGAGCTGCCCCAGACCTTGCCTCCCTCTACCATAAAGTGGAGAGCTTTGCCTGGGACCCCCAGCGCTTCCTCCGCTTCCATTTTGGCCTCCACGGGTTCAGTGGCAGCTGCCAGGCAGACAAGGAGACCCGAGCCCTGCTGCAGCTCCCCAAGGATGGGTCCTGCTGGGACACAGCCTACTTTGACATGCTGCTCAACCAGGTAACCCCAGCCCTTCAGCTGGGGCAGCACCATAAGCCCCTGGGTGAGGAGGCTTGGGATGAGCTCAGTCAGCCCCACTGAGCCCTCTGGAGGTGTGGGAGGCTGGCAGTGCTGGGCACGGAGCTCAGGCAGAGCGGGGAGCCCTGTCCCCTCACTCCCACCCCCCTTTAGTTTCAGGTGTACCGGATCCAGGACAGCGCGCGCCGCTCTGCAGCGTCCCAGCTCCTCTCCAGGATCCGCCAAGAAATCCCTCAGCAGAGCTGAGAGCCCCCTGCTGCTGCCCCTCTGGGGTGTCTCTAAACTCTGGGGGCTGCAAGGAGAGCTGCAGGGCCGGGGAGCAGCGTGCTGCTGTGTCATTTTATTGAGGAAAGGTGGCAGAGGGGGCAGAGCACACTGCTGCAGCTGGGGGCAGACACAGCCCTGGTGGACCTGGGCACTGGGAGCTGCATGGTGCAGAGGCTGGAGGGGCATGGCTGGCATTCTGCACTGCAGGGGGAAGGCTGAGGTTGTTGGTGATGGGAGGGGAAGCGACCTGTGGTCAGATCCTGCATCCTGTCAGCTTGCTGAGGGTCACCATGCCCTGGGGCCGGGGGAAGGGAAAGAACTGAGGGGCCAGGACTTGGGGGGCGCTGGGAGGACTGGTTTTGAGCCACATCTCGCATCTGCTGAGCACACCCCTCTCCTCCATGTCTGCTGCTCTGCCAGCTCCTTTCCACTGTGCCTTGGCTTGCTGGATGTTGCCGTGGCTCCTGCCAGCATCCCGGGGAGGCAGCGGAGTCCCTCTGCTGCCAGCTGCCAGGCAGTGCCAGCCCACCTCCCCCAGCATCCCGGGGGCTCACAGCCGGCTGCGGTGGCAGCGCTCAAGGGCATCTCGCAGGGCTCCAAGCACTCGCTCCACGTTGCCCCTGGTTGAGTTGCAGCCCATGAGGCCGATGCGCAGCACCTGGAGGGGAAGGGTGGGTGTCTGTCTGTCCCTCAGCAGTCCCGTCCGGAGGGAGCGGGGGACACGCAGCCGGCTGGGAGCGGTTGTGCGCAGCTCCCGTGCTCGTATTTAACACCGTCCTCTATAAAGAGGTGTCACCGCGCTAATTACGTGCGTGGTTATTCAATTAGGAGGCGATTGTGTGCGGTCGTGCTGCTATGCGTTGCTGCGGGCAGTGGGACGGGCTGTGCCAGCCACACGCGCTGTGGCAGCCGGAGGGTGGCAGCGAACCGGGGACCTGTGCCCAGCCGTGGCCAGCAGGAGTGGGGACGGTGCCCACCTTGCCCACCGTGGGGCCCAGGCCCCCAGCGATCTCCATGCCGTGCTTGTCCATCAGGAAGGCCGTGATGTCCTGCCAGTTGTAGCCCGCGGGCACCCTGACCGTGGTGATGGTGGGAAGTCTGGCCTCCTGAGGAAGAGACAAACTGCTGTCGGTCCCACGGCCCCGGTGACCCCAGCACAGTGCCAGGAGAGTGCTTCACGGAGCGGGGAGGTGTTTCTCTGGCATCAAAAGCTGCCCGGGGCTGTGTCCTCGCTGCCCCGCTCCGGGGTGGTGGTGCTGGCCTTGCCCTGCACCCACCTCCTCCTCCACAAAGAGCTCAAGCCCCATGTCGAGCAGCCCCCGGCACAGCAGGGTGCAGTTGGCCCGGTGTCGCTCCCAGGAGTTCTCCAGACCCTGTGGGCAGAGAGGAGAGAGGAGGTCTCTGCTGCTGGCAGCATCTCCCCGCACCCAGGGCTCCCCCAAGCCCCACGGGCACTGCTGGTGCTGCCCTGCCTGCCTGGTGCCACTCACCAGTTCTGCCAGCAGGGCCAAGCCCTCCCGCAGGCTGAAGAAGCTGTTGATGGGTGCTGTGTGGTGGTACCTGCAAGGGGCACCCCGAGGGCTCAGCTTGCCCGCAGCACGGCCGTGCTGGTGGCCGGGGAAACTGAGGCACGGCATCCTCTCCCTCCTCATCACCCAGCGCAGAGGGCTGTGAGCGTGCAGCAGCCAGGGAGATGGGGAGGCAGGGCCCGAGCCCTGGAGGGCAGGCAGCCCCACAAAGGCTGGGAGGGGAGCGCTTGTCCCCGTCTGTAAGAGGAGAGCCCGCCCTCACCTCCGCGGCTCCCCGTCACAGCCCCAGTAGTTTGCCAAGCAGCCCATGTCCAGGTAGAGGGATGGGGGCTTCGTCTTCCTCCTCAGCAGCTTCTCCCTGGTGAAACAGAGCGCTGGGGAGAGGCGGGACCTTGATCCCAGCAGCTCTAGGGTGGGAGGGAGGACTCCCTAAGGTGAGCTCAGAGATTGGCTCCAGCTCCCAGCCACTGCCCAGGGACGGGATGGGCTCTACCCCCAGAGCACTGCAGAGTGGGACAGAGGCAGGTGAGGGGTGACAGCCTCCCCCAGCCCCATCACCTCCCACCCTGGTGAGACCGGGCTGCTCTTACCTGGCTCGCTCACTGAATGAGATGGGGGCACTGCCAGGGGGTGCGTTCAGGACTTTCTGGGACCCCGAGTACAGGACATCGATCTCTGCCCAAGAGGGAAGACAGCTCCTTAGGAATCAGAGGCTCCCAGCAGGAAAATGCCGAGCCCTCCGACCTGGCTGCACGTGGTGGGTGTGAGGCACAAGGATGGCACACAGGGCAGGTCCTGCTCGTGTTCAGGCTGCTTTGGGAGAGCCCCTGGCACTGCTGATGGTCCCCCAAGGGGAACAGGCTGGACCAGTTTCTAGAGCTGCTAGCCAAAATGCAGGCAGAGGGGCTGATCCCACTGCTCTCTCTCCCTGTGCCAGGCATGAGCCCCTTTGTCCCCTGGTTGCCATGATGGCACTGTGGCTCTTACCCTGCTGGTCCATGAGGATGGGGGCTCCCCCAAGCGATGCCACTGCGTCCACAAGCAGCAGGCAGCCATGCCTGTGGGAGACAGAGCTCAGCCTGGGGCTCCTGCCACCTCCTCCTGCCACATCTCTGCCTGCAGCCCTGGCATCCTGGTCCCCACAGGGGCTGCCTGTCTCACTGGCACCAACAACAGGGCCAGAGGAGAGCCCAGCACAGATAAATCCCCAGGCCCAAGTCCCCAGTGGTGACCTCGGGGCGCCCGCCACGCACTGACCGGTGGCACAGCTCGCCCAGCCCCTCCAGTGGCTGCAGCACCCCCGTGGAGGACTCGCCATGGGTGATGAAGAGCACCAGAGGTTTGTGCTGCACCAGGCCCTGCAGGACACAGGGGGAAGGTGACCACACTGGAGGTCAGCTTGTGCCCACTGCACAGTGGCCAGCACTCACCTGCTCGATGTCTCGTGGGGTGAAGTACTTGCCCGGGGGCTTCAGCAGCTCACAGACTTTGGCTCCTGGGAGGAATTTGGGCAGAGGAGAGTGAGGTTTGGGCATGCTTCCCACTGGGCAGTCATCTGCTCCATGGGGCAATTGGTCCTGCATGAACCAGGAGCAGAGCCACCTGCCAGAGTCTGGCCTCCTGCAGATTTGCACAGTGGAAAAGCCATAAAGCACCATAAAGGGAGCGGCAGCATTTCTGGAAAAACCTGGAATGCTCTCTAGCAGAGCCCTCTCTGGTTTTGCAAGACGTGTCACCAGCATTGGGACAGCAAACCAGGGCACCTTCCAGCCCAGTCCCCTCAGCCCTGCCACGCCATCTGCCCGTTCCCTGCATACCCAGCCTCCTGGCAATTTCGGCAGCACGTTGTCCCCAGATGCCATTGATGGCCACCAGCACGGTGTCTCCTGGCTCGAGCAGGTTGGCGAGAGCAGCCTCCATGGCACTGTGGCCGCTGCCGCTGACGGCCAGGCTCAGCCTGTTCCGTGTCTGGAAGGCGTACTGGATGCCTGCCTTGATCTCATCCATCACCTGCAGCAACAGGACACTGCCAGCACTGCTACTCTTGCCCCAGCAGAGATGTTCCAGCCCTTCCAGAGGGTGAGGAAGAGGAGGGGAGGGAAGGAAAGCTGGGCTGGGGCGGCTCACCTGCAGCATCTCGGGGTGCATGTGGCCCAGGAGCTGGCGGGATCCCGCAGCCCGGATGCGGCGGGGCACGTTGCTGGGCCCCGGGCCGAGCAGCAGCCTCTCGGGCACGGCCAGGGGCCGCAGCAGCTTCTCCGGAGGAGCAACACGGAGCATGCTGCTGGCCATGGCTCGCCGAGCTGTCCCCAGGAGCTGAGTGCACAGAAGAGGAGTGTCGGAGGCTGCCTGAGCAGCTGCCAGCATTGCAGCACAGTCTATCCTGTTCCAGCAGTGTCCAGTGTCCCTATGGACCTTGACCCAGAAATCAGTGCTACCCCCTACCAGTCTGGACTCTACCCCTGGCTGCCTCCCCTGCCCGGTTAATGTGTCACCAGTGCTATCCCTGCTGTCTTGGGCCCCTCATTTTGGGGATGCCCCCTTGCTGGTGCTCAGAGCATCACTCTCCAGCTATGCCATCCTCTGGGGCTCCCAAGCACCGAGGCAGTCCCTGTCCCCGTGGCACCCAGAGCTCCAGGGCTAATGTCTCCCAGCAGAACCCCAGCAGGTGGGATCCCTGCTCTGGGCACCCAGATCCTGTGCTGAGACTGGTCTGGCACTGCTGCCATGGTCATAGCTCCTCTTGCAGCAAGGTCCTGTTGACCAGAGCTCCCTGTCCAGGGACCGGCCTTGCAGAGGGACATTGGGCCACTGGACTGACGTGCACCAGGGCTGTGAACTGGGACACGGACACAGTGCCTGCCACAGCGAGCTGTGGATTGCCTAGATCATGAGCATCCCAGTGTGTCCTGAGGATGTCACAGGCCCCACGTGGGGTCGATATTCTGTCACCTGCTGTGTGTACCCACAGCACATTGCCTTGTGCCCAACCTCTGCCACGTTCTCTGCCATCCATATCCTGAAATGCAAACAAGCTGCCTGCTGCCAGCTTTAGCAGAGCCATGAGCATGTCCCTGCCCTGAGGAACCCCTCAGTGAGCAAAGCCTTGGCTGGGATGGCAGCACAGGGGTGGGAATTCCCACCCGGCAGAGCTGGCACCAGTGGCCGCTGCTGAAGACACACGGGACAGCAACAGTGCCAGGCGAGAGCACATCTGCCCAGCAGCCGGGCGGCCACCACTGGGAGGAGCTGGGGGCAGATGAGTTTGATCCCGCACGGCTGATGGAAGCCACAGGCAGCCTGGGGACTGCTGTCCCCACCAAAGCGATGGCGACATATCTGATGGAGAAGATCTCCCTGTCCTCATGGGAGATTTGGGGCATGGCCGGGGCGGGGAGGGGACGCGCGGCCTCGGGGCTGCGGTGGGGCGAGGCTGGCCGTGCTGCTGGAAACAGCTGGCAGCGGAGGAATAATCCGCTTTCTGCGCTGGC